TAATGCAGGATTTACATCAACAGTAGCACCCTGTGGGACTTCCCCCCCTAAACTATGGGAGTTATGGTAAATCCTAATTCTGGGTAGTGCAGAATTTTATGTCATCGACAGTAGGACCCTGTGGGACTTCTGGAATCAGTTGGAATAAGCCAAGCCCGAGGCCCTATGTGGGTAGTTTTATAAGTTAGGATCCCTTTTGGCGTCCTGTCTGTAAGGGTGCCGTACTATATTGGGGACCTAAAATAGGGACCCTAATTTAGGAACTCCCCATATCCAAAACCACCCGACCCTTGCGGCCTCAACCTGAAACCTCAACAACCGTTTCGAGTCGTTTAGGGTTTAGGGTTTTAGGGGTTAGTGTTTAGGGTCTAGGGTTTTGGGGTTTTGTGGCTTAGGGTTTAGGGTGAAAGGGTTAAGGGTGTAGGGTTAAGGCGTTAAGGGGTTTAGGGTTCAGGGGTTTAGGGTTTCGGGTTTATAGGGTTAAGGGGTTTAGGGGTTTAAAGGGGTTCAGTGTTCTCTTGATTTGGGCTTTAGGGTTTAGGGTTTCGGGTTTAGGGTTAAGGGGTTTAGGGGTTTAGGGTTAAGGATTTCGGGTTAAGGGGTTTAGGGGTTTAGGATTCCCAGACCGTAGCATTAGGCACAGGCCTACACCAATTGAGTAGCCTCACCCTATAAACCCTAAACCCTGAACCCTATAAACCCGAAGCCCTGAACCCTAAACCCTAAAAACCCCTAAACCCTAAACCCTAGGCCTTAGACCTGTCTTCTAGCCTTCAAACCTCAGACCTTTGTTCTCCACGCGACCCCACGGTTCAAGGTTTTGGGTATAGGGTTTAGGGTTTATAGGGTGAGGGTACTCAATTGGTGTAGGCCTGTGCCTAATGCTACGGTCTGCGAACCCGATTTAAAGTTTAGGGTTTAAGGCTAAGGCTTAAGGGTTTAGGGTTAAGGATTTAGGGTTAAGGGTTTAGGGTTAAGGGTTTCGGGTTAAGGGTTTAGGGTTAAGGATTTAGGGTTAAGGGTTTAGGGTTAAGGGTTTAGGGTTAAAGCCCATCTCTAAACGCCTCACCCAACAGCAAACAGCCGCGGGACAGCACTTGGAAACCGAGCACCGAACTCTGCGGCAAGCTTACAATTAGTTTAGGGCGTTATAGGTTTGATGTGGCTTTATACGGGTTTCTACTGCTTCATAGGGCTTTTCATAATCAAGTAGCTTATTGGGGTTTCACGAGGCGTATATAGAGGGCATTGAATGGTTAGTACCGCGTGCGTCTATCCTAGACTTGCTTCCCGGGAAATATCGATTTTTCGAAACCGGACCAGACTTAAGATTCGAAGAAAAGTAACAACATGGATTTGGGACCGCTGAGTCTAGGTAGAGGTCATGTAGGGGCCTTAATACTTGGAAAAGGGGTTTGGGGGTATACTATACTCTCTCTCTCTATATATACATATATACATATGATAAGGAATCCCTATACTAAGTGGTTTGGGGGCTTCGGGTCTGAACGCGATGCATGTTTTTCTCGTTGCTGTGAGTGCCGTCAAGGAGGTGGCGGACTTGTAGCTGTCACAGATCATGTGCCACCTTGAGTCATCCTATGCCTAGGCCCGTGCATCCCACGCATCTGCTCATATAAAGCGTGTCTTCAAACCTACGGAGCAAGGCCAATTTCAAATGGACGTCTGCAAAATGCCGTGGATCTTGAAACGGATGAACAAAAGCTCACCCTCCAGGACTTCCAGCTTGAACCACTTATTAAGGCCTGGAGGTCCCTTGCAAGGCAGGAATGTGATCGCTTCGATCTCGTTCTCGCGCGACTCGTAAGCGAGGTGCCAGGTCGCGCCGTCTTCGGAGCACCGGATCCGGAAGAATGCCAAGGCCGATATTTTTCGACTGAAGGTAAAGCCCTACAGATAAACCCAAGCATGAGGAAGCAGCCACTGCACCCACCCTTTTCGGAGACAGAGACCGAAACGCCCTTGATTGGACGCAATGTCTTGCAGCTGCCCCATGGTATAGGCCTCACGCAGCTCAGGCCCCAGGATCAACACCACCAACCATCCCACGAAAACGAAATTCTTGCTGGGCCTGTCCATTTCGTAACGATCCCAGAGTGTGCCCAGCACATCTTTGGTGTGCTCACTAAGTGCTCGGATGTTGATGATGGATGTCGGCGCTTTTCGACTCTGCATAGGTATCGGAACGGATCATCTTCTCAAAGACGGGAGACCAATTGGCAAGGAGGGAAGACCAGACTTTAAACTCCCGCTCTCCCATCGCCTCAACTTCAGGATCCTTGGAAGCCTCTGTCGGGGGCTCTTTGACGATGACTTTGAAGTTGCCGTCCTGGCCGAAGCAGGCATTCCACACATCAGATGTCGCACACAAGTCTTTGCCAGTGAATAGCCCGGCTGGCTGCCTTTTTCGCTTGGATCCGTTCGACATCTTCAAGAAGGGGAACCTGCTGTTCTATACAAAGTCGAAGCTCAATCATAAAGAGGCAATCCCAAACTTTAAGCCCTAAGCCCTCATAATTTCAGTATGGTGTGTGGAAGGTAGGTTTTTCATACGAAGCGACTCTAAGGGGATAATGGTGCTCATTACTCAGACATCTATATTGATGCATTGAGTTTTGTCTTGTGACTACCGCGAGCCGTAGCACCTCATCTTCTGAAACTCCTTATAGAGCGTATGAAGCACTCGTTATCACATATCATTCAAGCCCCGTATGCTTTTAAG